AAAGAAAAAAAGGAAAAAAAGAAACCAGCAGCCTGAGGTCAAAGCATCTGCAATAACCAGCAACCTGCTTATTGTCTCGCTGTGGGTGCGCGTTGGAGTCAGGATGCTTGGAAAGCTTCGAGCGGAGGCCAGGACGGCTGGAGGCCGCGCAGGGAGCTGAGCTAACCCTGCAGCCCGAGCGCGTGGGGCCCGCGGCAGGAGCTGCAGGTCGTGTGGCCCCACGGAGGCACTGGCAGCCCTGGCATCGCTGCCAGAGACAGCAGCTGGCTCCAGCACTGAGGGATTTTTGCAAAATTAGGCCTATGTTTTGAAGAAATTAATTTGTAGGTCGCCTTTTCCGACAGGGAAATATGCTCCAGGCGCTGCCCTTTGCTCCCAGCTGCCTCAGAACCTGTTCCCAAATTCCAGGAAAATCTGGAGCTGATTTGGTGTTGGGCGGGAGAGCTCGGTGGTTGCGCAAGGACCGAGGACAGGCCCCCTCCTGCAGTGCGATGGGATGTCTAGGTCTGTGGTGGTGACGCCCGGGCTCTTCCAGCGCTGAGGATGCCTCAGCCCTGTGTTTTTCCAGGTCACAGAAAATGTTTGAGCCGCGAGTCCCAACTGCAGGAGTCGGGGATTCTCCCTTTGTCCCTGAGGACCAGGATGGAGGTGCCGGGGCTGCCGTCTGCGGTGCTGCCGCCCCTCCTCGTGTCCTTGGCACAGCTCTAGCTGCAGGCTGCAACCTGCCGCCCCTGGAAAAGCCCGTGTTTGTGCTGGCGAGAGCTCCGGCGGCGGCACAGCTCCAGGGAGATGCTTTACGGAGATCTGGAGCTCTGCCACAGGCCTCCTCGGGGACGGGGCTCCTCGGGAGCCCGCCCACACAGGGCGAGCCCAGAGGCCGATGGCTCCGCGGCACCGTGCGCCGGCCCATGCGCCTTATCTGACGTGTGCAGATGCAGACGGCGGCGCTGCCGCAGGGGAAGCACCCGGCCCCGGGATGGCGACGGAGCCCCAGCCCCGCGCCTGCCACTCCCCTCCGTGCAACCCGGCCGCCTGCCAAAGCAAACGCTTGCTTGGGCGCGACTGCTGCTCTTAGTGTTGGTATCGCATTTATAGTGATTTATCCCCACCCTGGAGCCCTGCAGGTCCAAGCGATGCTACTGGGGAAAATATCCCTCTGGGGAGCTGGGGGAAGCTGAATGCTGGTGTTGGCTGGGGAGCGGGGCCACTGCTCCAGGCCGTGCTGCTCCAAGAGCAGTGGAAGCAGCAGGGTTGGGAGCAGCAGGAGCAGTGGAGCTGGGAGCAGCAGGAGCAGCGGGAGCAGCAAGGCCGGGAGCAGTGGAGCTCCAGGGCTGGGATCCCTGGGAGCTGCCTGCTTGCAGTGCCAGGGCAGCCTGCAGGGACAGGGTGCAGGAAAGTCTTCCGGCAGTGACTCCGGGGCAGACTGGGCTGCAGCGGGGCTGTGGGAATGAGCTTGGCTAGCTCCTACTGACAGCCGTGCTTGTGCCCTCAGCCAACCCCTGCTGCGCCTACCCCTGCCAGCACCAGGGCGTCTGCGTGAGCGTCGGCCTCGACGGCTACGAGTGCGACTGCACGCGCACCGGCTACTCCGGGCCCAACTGCACCACGCGTGAGTCCCGCGGGAGCGTCCCCGTCCTGCCGTCCCAGCCAGTGCCGTGCGGGACCGGCCCCCCGGCCGGGAGTGATGCCGGCCGCGCTGTCTCCCCACAGCCGAGCTCTGGACCTGGCTTCGCTCGCTGCTCAAGCCCAGCCCGGCCTTCTTCCACTTCATCCTCACCCACTTCCAGTGGTTCTGGGACATCATCAATGCCACCTTCGTACGGGACATGCTCATGCGGCTGGTGCTCACAGGTGAGGAGGAGCTTGGAGGCCTGGGGCACATGGCGGGCAGGGTGCAGCACCTGGATGCAATACTGGGCACTGGGACACACTGCCAGGCACTGGGATGCAGTAGTGGCAAGTGCCATGGGCAGTGGTGGTGGATACCAGGGGTCAGGGCTGGGCACTGGGGAGGTGGCAGATGCCAGGGGCAGCGGTGGTGGTACCAGTGTGCGGGGGTGGGTGCCAGGATGCAGTGCAGGCACTGGGATGCAGTGCAGGCACTGGGATGCAGCGCGGCAGCAGCTGAGCTGGGGGAGAGCAGGGCACTGCTGCACACCAGGAAACCACGGGCAGCTGCCAGCAGCTCGGCTTTCCAGGAGCAGCGGATGGAAACATCCATGAGGCCCCTATTACTCACCCCCGTCCTGACATTTATCACATGGCGTAAATATTTATCCCAGCCTCATCCCCAGCCCGCCCACCTTCAACTCTGCCTATGGCTACATCAGCTGGGAGGCCTACGCCAACGTCAGCTACTACACGCGGGTGCTGCCGCCCGTGCCCGATGGCTGCCCCACGCCCATGGGCACCAAAGGTAGGTGCTGGCCACGGGGCCGTGTCCCGGCTTTCCCGACAGTGGATGCATCCGCAGAACTTTGCCAGGGCCCTTCTCTGCCTGGGAGCCGGGGGTTGAGGCCGGGCAGCACTCGAAACACATGTGGGAACAGAGTGCGGGGCTGGTTAAAAGCCCCCGGGTGTCTCCCCGCCAGGTCACGTTGTGGCCTGTGTGAAAGCAGTGTAAGGTGCCCAAACCTCCCTGTCCCCGCAGGGAGGAAGCAGCTGCCGGATGCCCAGCTCCTGGCGGAGAGGTTCCTGCTGCGGCGCAAGTTTGAAGCCGACCCCCAGGGCACCAACCTGATGTTTGCCTTCTTCGCCCAGCATTTCACCCACCAGTTCTTCAAGACCTCCGGGAAGATGGGACGCGGCTTCACCAAGGCGCTGGGCCACGGGGTGAGAGTGTCACGCTCGCCCGCGAGGCGCCCGGTGCCTTCCCGGGCCTGGCGGCTGCTCCGGCCCCTCGCCAGCACCTCCAGTCTCTGCCAACCCTGCGGAGAAGCCGCTGCCCCACAGCAGCGCTGGGCACCAGGTGGGACATGGACCCACGTTGGTGACAGGTCCTGGATTTTCTCCAGGTGGACCTTGGGCACCTGTACGGAGACAACTTGCAGCGGCAGCACCAGCTGCGACTCTTCAAGGATGGGAAGCTCAAATTCCAGGTACCAGCAGCACGTGCAGCAAGGCTGCCCTGCTCCCATGGTGGGTGTTTGAAGCCGGCATCTCTCTGGTGGCTGCTGGGTTTGAGACCCCGGGAGCTTTGGGAGACACCAGCGCTCAAGACCATGTTCCCAGTGCTACCAGGCACTTTGGTGGCGGCTGATTGGAGCCACCTCTTTGGGCAGGTCCATAGGGACGTCCTGTCACCACCCTCCAGCCCCCTGGGGAAGGACCATGGGCTCTGCAGGCACCCAGTGTGCAGGGTTTCGTGGTGCAGTCCCAGCCTGTCCCCTCCTCCTGCCCGCTCTTGTCTCTCCAAGGTGGTGGACGGTGAGATGTACCCGCCGACGCTCGCCCACGCGCCCGTGCACATGGTCTACCCGCCCGCCATGCCCAAGGAGCAGCAGATGGCCATGGGCCAGGAGGTGTTTGGGCTGCTGCCAGGGCTCTGCCTCTACGCCACGCTCTGGCTCCGTGAGCACAACCGCGTCTGCGACATCCTCAAACGGGAGCATCCCACGTGGGGCGACGAGCAGCTCTTCCAGACCGCCCGCCTCATCCTCATCGGTGAGGGGCAGCGCCCCAGGACGGTCTCTTGGAGCTCTGTGTTCGGAGGGCGGTGGCTGCCCTGGCTCTGCTTGCAGAGTTTCTCTGGAACTTTCTGGAGATTGTATCTCACCCTGGCACCACGTCCTGCTATTCTGCATGGTGCTTGTTTGAATTTCAGCCCATTTCCCAGGACTTCACCGTGGGAAGAAGGCTTATCTGCATCCTTTGGATCTTGTGGCTCTTTTGTTGTGATGTTTGTGCCATTTAGCATTGGTGGCAGCAGTTATGTGTCCCCAAAAGCCATCACCTACAGGATTAGGCACTAGGGGGGTGACATTAGCTCCTTGGAGGAGCTGCCCTTGGGTTGCTGTGGCTGTGCTAGGGGGGCAGCGCAAAGCCACCCTCCAAGGCTGCGAGGAGCTCGCAGCAGATCTCATCTTCTGTTAATAGAGGTAATTTGTCAGAACATGAGCAATTTTTTTGAACAAAAATATTTCCTTTGGCCCATCAAAAAAGTTTAACTACTGTAATTCTGAGTCATCTCATTTTAATGTCCTATTGTAAATTTACTGTAATCTCATGAAATGTAATTTTCAACCAAAATCCTGAAGTGGTCCATGTCACCACACTGGGAATCACCCATTTTTGATCTCTATGTATATCAAGGTCAGCTTTCCCGTGACACCTGCCTCTCTTCCTCCTGCCCAGGGGAGACCATCAAGATAGTCATTGAGGACTACGTTCAGCACCTCAGCGGGTACTTCCTGAGCCTCAAGTTCGACCCCGAGCTGCTCTTCGGGGAGCAGTTCCAGTACCGCAATCGCATTGCTGTGGAGTTCAACCAGCTCTACCACTGGCACGGGCTGATGCCGGACTCCTTCATCGTCCAGGGGGAGGAGTACAGCTACGAGCAGTTCCTCTACAACACCTCCATGCTCACGGACTACGGCGTGGAGGCCTTGGTGGAGTCCTTTTCCAGGCAGATTGCAGGCAGGGTAAGCTCCTGCTCTCCCCTCCGTGCAGAACGGTGGTGACGAGCTCTGGCTCCTCTTCCCCCGAGTAAAGCTCTGGCCCCAGGATCCTGAGACCCACCTTGAGCGCAGCAGCAAGTAGAGTCAGTGCTCAGCCCTGGGCTGCGTGTGGCACGTCCAGCCTGTCCCCAAGGCCTCCATGATCAGCCTCATCTGCTTGACCGTGAGACGCGAGAGGAAAAGCTCTGGTGGAGTCACGGGCAGCGGAACGCGGCGAAGCGCGGCTCATGGAGCCGTTCTTTGCTGCCATCGCATGGAGACTTCCTTCCATGCACCTCAGTGAGGTCCCCGTGGCCGCCTGCCTGGTGCAGAGCAGCGAGGCTGAGCACAGCCGCTGCCCGCGGGCCGCTCGCGTTCTCCCTGTGATCCCCAGAAACAACAACCCCCTCCTGGCCGGTGTGCAGCCATCCCAACGGCCTCTCAGGCACCTTCCTCTGCCCCTCGCTGCAGGCAGGACAGGCCTTGGCCCCACGTACTCTGGCTGCTCCTCTGCAGCTCCCGTTTCTAGCGCTGTCCCATGGATCCCCCTCCTCTCGCTGCCACGGCAGCCGTGTGAGGGACATTGGGCCGGGTGGGCAGGTGCCTTTGTGGGGATGATGCCAGTGGTTGGTGGTGACCACGCGCGTTGCTCTGCGCGTTCTCACCCTGCAGATCGGTGGAGGCCAAACCATCAACGCCAACGTCCTGAAAGTGGCCGTGGGGGTTATCAAGGAGTCCCGGCAGCTGCGGGCCCCGCCCCTCCACGAG